TACAATGTCAATATTTAAAGATGCTAATGATTCCACCGTCATTGCCAATTCCGCGACCTCGTTATAAAGGTCTATTGCAATTTAGGGACTCTCTTAAAATAATACAACTCGCTCTTTTACTTGTGTAGTCAACTTGAAACCATTTTTGGCATATTTAGCTTTTTCAAACACTCTCCTCCTCCCCCCCCCACGGCGTTGAAAGCTTTTAATGAAAAAGCACCCCACGGAAAATGCCCAGGGGTTCCTTCAAATCACCCCTCGGGATATCAGCTGATACTGAAATATGTTGTACCTTACGAAATTTTGTTTTTAAAATTACTTTTCTCAAAATTGCCTTGAAATTTACACCAATCTTTGGGTCCTTGACTTGTTTTTATTTTTTGTTCTTGTTTTTGTCGGTTCCTTTTACAGTTTCTTTGTACATATACTGACACAATCGAAATCATCTGCCCTCTCCCGTCGGTTCAGTATTCGTTTCCAGGTCTCACACGAACGTAAAAGAAAACTGTTAACACCTTCCCTAGACTTCAAGAAAATTCCTGGTAACCTAGTGGTACGTTGCCCCATGGTCAGATCGCTTCTAATTAAATGACTTCGCTTCATGCCATAACTTTATCTTGTAACACATTCGGCATTTCTTTCCAAAGTTCTTTCCCCACTTATAATCAGTGGTTCCAATTCGCGATAATCGAGTTCTTTCTTCTAGTAGTTGTAGTTAATCTACATGGTTTTATGGCTCCCTTTTATGGGGTGTAAGTATCAAATGATACTCTTTTTATCAAGTATGCTTATTACATTTAGTAAACGACTGTGAATATATCAAAGTCATATATTTGAACTGCGGATAAAGACGTGAATATGAAAGTGATCTTCGCAGTAATGAACACTACTTGAGCAGTAGTAAAAATAGGGCCTGAAAAAATTCAGGCCTTATTTTCACTACTGCTCAAGTAGTGTTCATTACTGCGAAGATCACTTTCATGTGTAAATTTTGTAACTAGATTATTTGCGTGATATTTTCGCTAAGATAGCAAACAGAACACTTCGAAAATTTCGCTCTTCCAATCAGCCTTCGGGGGCGTCCACTCAAATATAACTTGCCTTTTCCCTCGTACTGGGCTTTAAGTTATTTTCGTGAGTTCCAAATCAATCTTCAATCGATCTTTTCTCGGGTTTAAGTGATCACGAAAAAAATGCATTTGACACAGCGCCAGCTAAGCTCACACCTAAACCCAAGCGCAATATGCGAACTTATGTTAATACGAGGTGAGAATTTTAGCTAATGAATAAACATCATTTCGATCTGAGCGGGGTAACTTGACCACGGGGCGTAGTAACCGTTAGAAGGGCCATCTATTGGTGGCACGATTTTGAAAAATGTCAAGTAGACCGAAAAAAATTCTCATTTTCAAAGTGCTAGGTCTCAGGGTAACTAAATGTAGAATATAATCAAGCTCGCTGACGAATTCTATGACCATGTCGACGGGCCGTCTAGTTTTAGGTTTCGTGAGGAGTTTAGTTGGTGTAAGACTTCGCTCCTATTGGTTGGGAGTTATAAAAAATTGTGTCTCAAGTAGATGGCCTTGGTCACTGTGTTTAAGATAGAAATGCAATTCAGAGCTTGTTGCTGTACTGAAATTTGTTATACAGCAATCTTTTCTTTCGCTATTTTGTCTCGGAATTTTTTAGTCATAGCTGGTGCCAGCCGGCTGTGTATTATTTTCGGATAGCATGAGCTATTGTGACTATAAGTCCTCGATAGCCAATGTGGTCAGTGAAACGGGATTTTTTAGTCACTGCTGGTACCAGCCGGCTGTGTGCTATTTTCTTAATGCGTGAGCTACGGTGACTTTATGTCCTTGATCGCCAATATGATGAGTGACGCTCAGTTGTTAGAAAGTCGAACCGCTAAATTAAAAGATTCCTGAACGAGACAGATTTTCATTGTTCCTTTGAGGCACGTTCCTGAAAATTTTCCACAATCTTCTCTCTTTCGAAGATCGAACACAACACAGGTCACAGGCCGGCCATGTCTCTCAATCCATTTCCACACAGCGCGCCTTCGAATTAATGTCGACCCAATCAGTGAACAGAACGCCTGCTACAATGAACTTAGTACGCACACTGCCTCAATAACACCGACATCTTTATTATTCAAGTGTAAAGCTGTAGAAGGACAATCGAAATACTGGGATTTGATTTGGAATTTTCTGCCTTGCAATACTTCCTCTAATTTTTTAGTTTTTGTGAAAGCTGATTCCTCTTCTCCATAGCAACCAATTTCCGCGTCGGCCATGATCAGAGATATTATTGTAACGGATACACTGTTACACAGATCTCGTTGTCCGGATACATCTATGAGCTAAGAAAAATCCGTCTCAGCAGTGTTTTGTGTAGGAAATCAGCTTTTCCTCATTTCATGCATAACTTGCATTCACAGCGCTGCAAGGAATCTTTTTAACACGATCCAGCTTTGTTTAAAGTAAACAAGCCGGCGAGTGCAAACCGTTGGAGAGCAATCCAAATTCAATAATACTGTCGTTGTTTGGAAAGGATTACTTCAAATAATTAACCTAATCCGGTAGGCCTTAGTTTGTCTGATTTTTCCGACGTTAAAAGAATTAATCAACATTTCGTGTGGCAAGCAGGCAGTAAGCAAGGGATTGCAAGCTTATTGTCTTTCAAGAACATTTTTAATCCTAATAGCGTAATGGTTACAACATATGGCTGACTTCTCGTTTTTTATTGCCCAATATTTCGGGTTTTAAGAGAAGAACAGTGAAGTAACGACAAATTTTGGTTTATTTTGGAACGGTGAAGTGTCGTTAATATTTTCAATTTCCTTTTAATAACTAACCTTGATAGTTTATAATTGAGTGATGATTTTTTTCCTTTTGACAAACTACTTGTGATGAAAGTTTCGTTGAAACATCAATTTTCAGAAGTTCCATTTGAATAAGGAACAAGGAATCATTTTCTTCTTACGTTGCTAGAAACATCGAAGATATACAGAAAACATCTTTTATTTAAACGTCAGAAGCTCTTATGAATAATAAAAATGAGAAATGCAAACACGAGAACAAATTGATTTTCAATTTGTTTAAAGAGTTATAATTATATCAAATTTAATATCAATAGATTGACTGATTGTACACATGGGGTAAATTTGTGGATTTTTTGTTAGCAGTGTATTAATTTCGGGTCGTGCTTTGAAGCATTATCCAGGAACTGCTGCACACGATTTAAATTATTCAACGAAAACTTCAAAATGCTAAAATTCGAGGCAAACAAATTTTGAAACGTTATTTCTCTCCTATAAAAAGCTTTTACCTAACAACGTAGGCTGTTTGTAAAAACAATTTCGACGTCATCCGGCTTGGATGACTTTGGGGTTTCGACCTTTCTGCAGTACCGCTAGAAAACGAACAACGGCTTTCATTGCAAAAAGAACAACACTGATCTCCATTGACACGCTTGCGGTTCCTGTTTGGTGATTAAATGTTAGTAGCGCTTTTGTTTTCGATCAAAGCACAAAGAGAGGGTTTAAGACATCTGTGAGGCGTAATCTTTAAGTTTTAAACCTCCATCGTGTAATCAAGATCACGTCTTTTGTGTCCAATGCCCCAGGCTAGACAATTTGCTCAGCGGTAGACAATATTCATGTCTTGCACTTTTCATTGAAAGAAATATACTCCTAACTAAAGCGAGATAGCGAAATAAATGAAATTTATTTCATGTATCGTTGCATCGATATTAAAATGCCAATAAGCCATACCACAGTGCCTAAAATAACCTTGAAAGCAACCGATTTGACGAGTATATGCGGGTGTTTTCATTTTCTGTCAACTTGTGAACTGTTCGACATCTTCGGCATCAGCCAGATAGCTCTTTCCTCTGAGTAAAAAAAAAATTGCAATATGTGCCGGTAACGATCGCTGATGCCCTCTTCCGGTTGAATAAAATCCTATCAGCTTGACGATCAAAAGGATAAACAAAAACCTGCTATGAAAACTAAAAATATCGACTTTTCACGACGATACGATCATAAACATATCGGCTCCCAAATTATGTTCTCACTCAGGACTCTCATTGAAAACGGTTTTACTGTAATAAAAGCTTGTAATTCACTTAAGATCGGTGGCACAATTTTTTTTGGGCGCCTTTTTGTAGAAATGTTAATATGGATTTTTAACAAAGATCGTGTAATGTCGTTTTCTGAGATCCTTACAAACAGAGTACCTTGTAAATATTTACACCCTTTGTTTTGAGTTATTAAGCAAAGAGCCTGTCGTTCTTGTTAAGAGGCTGTGAGTAAACCGTTATAATGCCACAACAATCCAATATTACAAATGTTACAGGTTTTTCCGTCCGTCGTCGCTCAAAACCTGCATACCCGTGTAATGTTCTTCTGTGCGTATCGCTTTCGAATCCATCCGTGAAATTTGTTGAAATTGTTAGCGCGCGTAAAAATATTCAATTGACTAGAAAAACATCGAGGGTGCTCTACGTAATTTGTACAGAACTGCTATGAATGAAAAAATCAACAACTTCTTAATACGATACCAAGCTACTGTGAGATCAAAACGAGGACCACAGGGGCGTGCAGAATTTCACGCACTTCGGAGGAGGTCAATTACAATATTGTCAGTTGTTGGTATTTTTTATAGGGTTCAAAATAAGTAAGGAAATATCAGAATTATTGACTCGTTATGCAATCAATTAAATAGTGTGTCCAGAAATGATTTGAAGCTTTTTTTGTTGTAGTGTGGAGGATTTAGTAGCGCTACGTGATGTCCTGTGAGGGTGATTTCAAGCGCATCGAAGTAAAAAGAAGTGCTTTGTGCGTCAAACAGGATTGTGGGCAGCTGGGTACGTTTGAATCTGCTCTTATGAAACGGCCCGGCATCGTTTTACTCGAGCTGTCGTTATGATTCACAAAAAAAAAAAACAGAATTAGCATAACATAAGTTCATTGTGTCTGAATGGTTTAGCGGAGGATTTTGTTGAGTGTGTCCTCAGGCAAGGGTAGATATTGCGAAACTTTTTAACTAGGCTTTCAGTCCACTCAGGCCATCGAGACGCTCGTAGCAGAAGTCTTCGTTACAATTATCGCCTGGACTGTAAGGCTGTATAAAAAAGCTAAACTTGTCAAAGGGGATTTAAAACTGTTAATTAGCTTGGTTTTCGACACTCCATCAATCACACGTCCCGCAGGACTCGTTTGAAGAAAGCAGCCCCATCACATCATTGGCTTAACACTTAATCTCCTAATACAGACCCGAGGGACTCAATAGACAAGCAGTATTATAACACATCATACACGTGCAAATTAGTGATATGTACACACTGGAACGGTAGTCTGCATATTTAACAAAGACCCCTGACAGTGCTAGTGATCAGTCACTCCAAAAGCCAGTAATCTCTCGACTAAAGTCATCCAAGACTGGACGGCGGGACTTCTTACTAACAGAGCGCGCGTATTACACGGAAGGAGAGAGAGGAACTGTAGATGATCCGAAACGAAGACACCAAGTTTAAAAAACTGTTTGTCGGAGGTATTCCGTACGGTACAAACGATGAATCGCTACGGGAATTTTTCTTGAAATACGGGGCAATCAAGGAGGCTGTTGTGATTCGAGACAGAACCACTCAAGAGTCGAAAGGTTATGGATTTGTAAGTATGGCTGCGCTTACTTTTGCGCGTCATTAGCAACGTAGCGATTTCTCGTCTGGGATCCACTGATTTTGAAATGATTTCATTTCATCTCCAGGTTACGTTCCACGACAAGGATTGCGCGGAAAAGGCGTGTGAAAACATGAATCCCATCATTGATGGTAGACGAGCGAATGTCAACTTCGCCTATCTCGGCGCGAAACCGAAACCTTTCAAAGGTCAGTTTTACAACGATCACCATTAAGATGTGTATGCGATCTGCGATCGATTTTTACCCGAGAAAACTCTATAAACATTTCATAACTTCACATCTTATTATTGGCTCATTTCTCGCTTGAATACCTTTGAAACGAAAGGAGACCGGGTATCAATAACTGGGCCGAGACTGTTAAGGTAAATATTTCTGTTTGGTTACAAATGCCAACACACGTAATTTTTTCCTCTTTGTTTTCAGGAAATGGAAAGAATGCTATTGCCAGTCAGGGATTTGTCTATAAACAGAACACGATAATAGGGTAAGGCTGCCAACGATTTCAATATCATTCAGATGAGACTAGCTGTCAGCAGTTTTAATGGACAATGAGTACTTTGCGAATTTTTTTCTTTAATCTTAGTGACCTTTTTATCACAAAGGTAGGTAATTTTAGTATTGTATAAAACTCTTTCGGCAGACTTGAGACTCTTCAATATACCCTGGAACTGATCGAACGGGAAATACTTGTTCGTAGGTTGAATTTAACGTCTGCTTGAAAAGAATTCGGAAGAACTTTGTGTGAAGCCGTTAATGAAACAACTTTTCATAGCCTTTAAAATGTTTCTTCGAAGAGAATGGGGCTAATAGCTTGCGACCTTTCAGCCTTGCAAACAGACCACGCAGTTAACAAATGGCTCATAATGCTATAAAGGAAAACAAAGATTACTAAATTGCATGGTGAAACACATAAGAAAAATCAAAGGGTCCGACAAGACTTCTCTTATTATGGTATTCAACAATTATCCGGGTGGTTCGTCAATTATTTACTTCACAGTCTTGATAATACATGTAGTTATTGACCCCCTTCAAGATACCGAGTCTGCATAAGTCTGGGAGCTTTCCGGTATACGACGTTGTGATTTTGTCGAAGTCCGAAAAAGTGTTTGTAAAAAGAGACAAACGCGAACAAAGGAGTCTGGTCTTAAGTCAGTTATTTTGTTTTGTAAATCAGGTCAACAAGTAATAACTATAAACTTTACAAAGGCTTGATTAATAAGCGCTAAGTATCCCATCAGTCAGACACTTGTAAACAAGCTTGTACGACATGAAGCCTCTCCAAAGCCTCAAACCTTTACATCAATGAAATAAGGGAAATGATCTTTTAGAACTGTGACAACGTAATCTTTTCCCCTTTTCGTTTCAAATCAATATATTTTGTGGGACAAAGAGGGTTAACTTCCATTCAAGACAAATGATTTGAATATTATACCTTAGTTCTTAAAATGTGTACTTTGTAAGATCACAAAATTGAACCTCGTAAAGTTTATTTGTAGACGTAAATCTTTCTCGCGCGGTCTTCGCCAGCCGAAAGAATTAGATTTTTTTGAAATTTGAACCTAATTCTTGGGTAAGAATTAAGTTTCAAAAACTTTGTTTTAAGCCGGCTTCTTACAACAATACAGCTGCTTATTGTAAAAGCATAGTTATAAAACAATTTATTGTTTTGATCTCCAGGTCGCAGCCATTCGCTTCCAGTTTTACCAACGGATTCTCGGCTGGTTTCCCCGCTCAACAGCTTCAATCAGTACCACTGATCTCGCCGGTTCCTCAGTCGCCAAACGGACAGATTCCATCTATGCAACCTTCGGTGCAACCATTACAGCTTGTTGAATACAATGGCGTTCCAACACTTGTCTTTGGCACTGTTTACGATACGGTTTATTATTCACCCCCTCCGTCTTACGTCCCTTCCCCAACTCTCCCCGCCAATTCGATGGCGCCGTCGTTCACATATCAAACGGTTGCACCACCGACGCCACCGCTCAGTACTCCTTCGTTACACGGACAGCATTTCTTTCCAACACACGTCGAACTAATTGGACAGCCGCAGATCTAAACTTGGTTTCAACTTGAACGCATTTACAGAGACCAGAGAACTCATATACAAAATAGAGCTACTATACGTTAGTTGGTAGGCCGTTTAAAAGAACAAAACAAAAAAAAAACAGAAGATGAGCATCCTGATTATTCGAAATACTCAGTCGCTAGCGACTCGTATAAATTTCCAATCAATATTCTCACTTAAAAAAAAGGACGGCAAGCTGTAGAGTTGCGGATATTGTAGACCAAGATATCAGAAAAAAGATATTTTAAATCAATTTTTCTAATTTATTACCAATTCTTATTAGCAAAATAAGAACCTAATATTTTGCGACCAAATCGTAACTGTTTTATTGCTGTAGATCACAATCAAAACATGTATACAGTCAACAAGAGAAAAGCTAGCAATTAATTGTACAAAGAAACACAGCCCCAAGCAAATTGTTGTAAATTTAGGCTTCGTAGATAGGAAGCTGTCATTTAGGGCAATTGCCATTTACAATTCCTCAACCCTAGCATGGGTTAGTGGTGCAAACAATGTAGAAGCATAACTGGTATAGAAATACAAAAGCATATAGCACTGTTAAGATAGGCCAATTAGTTTAAAAACTGCAATCACACATAAAAATAGAGAGGCAAATATAGTTATGAACCAATTTTCAAATTGTGTGTCTTGCTTATAGTCACAGTTTGTTGTCTTTAGCAGTTAATTTGTTAACTGAGGTTTCTTTTAACGCATCAAACTTCGAAAATTTTTTTTCATCTTGACATGTGATAAACAGTTTATAAATGGACGCAATTGGTAATGAAAGCTCAGAAGAGTGTGTGAAAGTTTCACCGTTACTCTGGAGACTCTTCTTTCGATGCCAACTTGTCTGAAGAATATTTCAGTGAACACGAAATCTTCAGTGATATAGGTTTGAGAATTATGTCACTCAATTTAACAACGGTTATTACATTACTACGTCCGGTAGGTGCTTTGATGTTTAGTCATTTCCGATGAAAAGCTCTTTACCTTGATATCAGTATCCGGACTAAAGATACCTGTTCTTGAACGGTTTGAATTTTTTCACGGCGGCTTGATAACTCGTGTGTGGGCAAACATGGGACAATTCATTTTCTCATGTTTTTTTGAGCCAGCAAATAATACAAGGGCATGAACCAAAATCTTCAGCAATAGCCTCACTTATGTTTTTTAAAATACGCGAGTTAGTTCTACGATGAAAATGAATCATCATTGACTGTAGTCAGAGCACAGGTGATTACGCGTAAATCAATCTTATACAATGTAGACAGATAGACCGCAATAAGGATTATGTACCTCTCAGCATTTTGGTTCCTTAGACATTTAATACTCTTCTGCGTTGAAGTACCTAAATTATCATGGCAGGTGTTGAATCCATTGCTAAGGGATTGCATAGTGCGCAACATAGATTCAAATCACGTTTTGACACTCGAGAAGAATTTAACTTCAAGTCTGCCGCTTAGCTTTTACAATCCATTCTTGCCACAATGTGGAAGCGTCTGGTGTCGTTGTGGACAGAACACCTTTTTATGATCATTATTTTTCTATATTGATTAAAGCTAAGACGGAGAGAATTCAGGGTTAATTTTTTCATTTGTATTTGGTTAAAAGCGCAGCAAGTTATGTATTTGTGTATACGTGAGGGCTTAACCGTACCGATGAAAAACATGATGGTAATATTAATAGTAAGAATATTTAATGTCGGTGCCGGAGGGCTTGTGTCTCTAAAACGTGATACCTAATATCTGTATCTAACCCTGAACCTTCAGAATTCACAATGACGCCTTCTCCCCTCCTCTCTTTAATAGAAAACAAATTTTCCTTTGTTGAAGTGAAGTGTTCTTTCCATACCTAATTGGTTCGCAGTTTCATTCAGAGAAACTTTACTGACGTGGTAGTTGAGCGAATCGTGCGCTCGTTCATGCCCTGTGCAAGAACCGTGTCAAAAGTTAAGTCCAAAAAGCCGGCCGGATTTCATTGCCACGAAGTGGAGAGACAATGAGGTAATACGATTTTATTGACAAGGCTATCCAAGACTGCTTTCTTATGTTATTGAATATAACATTACAGAGTCATGTAACTGAGCTAAAACCATGTTGACAATGTGACGCCTGCGTTCACACGCGTGCTATACGTTTTAAAATTATTTCCTCACTCAATTAGCACCGCCCTGAACGTGACTATAGACAAATAGTAAGGTTACACAACCCCAAGGTTATGAGACACTTCAAGAAGCTTTTTCCGTTACCATGGCAATTTTTGTCCTTGAGTGAATTTTTCAGCATCGAAGCGAATCTGTTCCCAGTTTGAGACAAGCTCCTTGCATTACTTGGACAATACATTGTCGGACTGGGAAACAAAAGGTTCAAATTGCGTTTTAGTTCCATAACACGTAGGAGTCTACATAAGCTGGAACTACTGTTCTTTGTTTTACTGGACCTTGCACTGCGAAGCGCTGCTTCCGCACTTTAGCCCAGAGGTTGCTCAAAATTTATTTCCAAATTCCCTTTTCGCCACACATGTATCTTAGCACGATATTATTTGCTTTCATTGCCGGCGATATATGATCTTTTCACTCTCACGATTTAAATGTCGCTTCTCTGCATTGTTTGTGACTAAGATAACATAAACTTTACATTCTCTTGTTGTGACACATTTTTACAATTTAAACTCTAAGAATTTGGTGCTGAATCCACAATATTTTCTTTATGATAGCTGTCTTACTTCTTATCATTTTCTTATGAAAATATACGAATGCTGTCGGAAGAAAGTTTCTTTTTGGACACTCCTGGCAGTGAAAAGATAAAAGAAAAAAAGACTAACGCCATGCAACAGGTCGGTCTCATCAAAGATACATTAAGTGTTGAACCAGACACTCAAAAAAATTACTTGGCAGTTGGTGTCGGGAAGGAATTTTAATAGGTCTAGCTTCAATTAAGTATCACAGCCACCTGTCACCTTTCTATCTGCCTAAATGGCTTATTTTTCCAATCATTTAAGAAGTATTGCGTTGAAGTTTTATGTACCCTGTGCTTGCTCAAATTGGCCGCGCTGGTTTTAAACTCATAGTAGGTTAGGGGAAAACAAAATGATCGGCTTAACTGATCTTTTTCATTCCATTTTTTCAGTTAGGATTGTCCGATTTTAGTCTCCTCTCTCATAGGTTTGTTGACAAGGGTAAATGAAAGAGCTGAAGGTCACAGTGATCCAACGTTGAACATGTCTGGGCAGAAATGCTGAGTGTTCGCTTGCATTCTCTAACCCTTTAACGCCTGTGAGGTACTAGCAACTAATTTCTCATTCCACTATCCTTCTGAATCAAATATTAAGGTCATGGGAATAAAGGAAATGACCACCAACTAAAGAAGCTCTTGATTGTTGAACAAATTCTCCTTGTCAGCACCTTAGGAAATGTATAGAGAACAGCATGGGGAATATTAATACTGATATTACGGTGTAAAGGGTCACGCAGTGCGTTTCTCTTCTCACACCATGAGCACGAATCAGCCAAAGCTTACAGACCTCAAAATCACAAAATCAGCAGCGGCAACTACGAAATGGTTTATTTTATAAGAAATATTAAACTAAGCGCATTTATCGGATCTAATTTCCATGACAAAAACTCCTTTTATGTGAGTTCCATAGTTTCAAAACCGACCAGACAATTTTTTAAGTGCAAAGGTCTTGACAAGAGCACTCATCAAGAGAAGCTGAACAAAACGGAAATGAAAATTTACCTAAGAAAATTTTCTTGATAAGTGCTATTGACATATAACCTCAGCTAATGATACAACAGCTGAGAGGCTATTTTTTCCATGACAAATTATTTCCATAGTGAACTTGTCACAGTTAAAATGTCCAAAGTAATCCGAGATTGCATTGGTCTAGAAAATTCGCGCCATTTCTCAACCGATTTACAAAACTAAAACCAATCAAGATTTGGTGGCCCGCGTTTTTCCCGCGCTTTAGGCATGCGCAGTTTAATTGGTTTTTTGCTGTGAGTTCTCATTGATTCTTATAGGTATCATTCGATATCATCCTTTCTTTTGATCGATCGTGGAGATTACTTCGCTTTTGGTTTTACGACCCTCAGTCGAAAAGCACTCTAAAGATAAGTTTTGATATGCAGATTGAATTTTCATATTGATTAACGGGGTCCCTAAATTTGTCTGTTTTTCTTATAGGTAAACAAAATTTAAGAAAGGAAAGGGTGTTGCTTAGTCACGCTGCTCTGAGACAATGCGAACGATGAACCAAATTGGACGACCTCTAAGCGCCGGGGAGTCTGGATTGTCGCGTCAGTCATAAATATTATTACTGAAAGAATTGAGAACAAAATACCCATTCGTGAAACGTCTTCATAGGAGGAAAATTACAAAGGCTTTTTTCCAAAAGATAATAAACCTAACACTCTTAGTTAAATGAAATAATTGATGTTCGACCCGCGAAGTGAAGGAAAGATCTTCGCAGCAATTAAAGCAACTGTAGAGAAAAGGCCCGAAAAACATCCAGGCTCGACGTGAGTGCACAATTTGTTACCGAGAGGCACTGGTTCGTATCTTGCTGTAAGCCTAAATTTGTACAGGCTTTTTTCCGCAAAATTTTTCTTTGATCCACAAAGATAATTTCTTTACGACCTTTACTTCCAGCTGTCTGAAAAGGAGAGCTCGCCAATGACGCGTAAATTCCAATTAAGCTGGAACGACGCTTAAATTGTCCAATTAGTTCACAAATCGAGGGGCTCAGTGGTGTCATTCGAGAATATTCTGATGGTGTTGATTTAGTAGAACCTAAGTAAACTCTTTGAAACTCCACGAGAGTAAATAAGTTGAGACGTGACTGTGAAAGAGCAGACTCATTTACCTACGCATACCGATTAGCTGTAGTTTGACGCTTCTGTGAGGAGGCGGTCTTGCTGAAGCCCATTTTTAAACAATGTTGCTTATCACCATTCACATTTTACTGTCACGTACAACCCTAATTTACTATTTACACAGCTGGTTAATTACGGGTAGTATAATTGATTGCTTGCATGCATTTAACAAAACCCTCTTCTACGTCAGTTTTCAAGTGAAATTACCTTAGGGCAAAGTGACATATTTAATCCGTTAGATAAATAACGTATACAGAGATAAGAAACATGTTTCTGCCAATTAACAATGCAGCAAAGTAGTTAAGGAAATACCTCTCTTTTACTTAAAGTGATGTGATGTCATCAGTTAAACGAACGAAATTTGTTTCGCAAACTGTTTTCAATCCACAAACTGTTGACAATTTTCAAAGGTTGCTTGACTTGTATTTCGCATCTGTACTTACAATGAAAGCCGCACTGTGAACTTTCGTGTATAGCGGCCATAAAAGTTAGCGGAATTTAACAAAGCAGTTTTCATTTCAATTAAATTTCAAACAACTGGCTTTGTCTGATGTAGATATACAAACAACCTAAGCTTTTACTACCGATGTCCCAATCATTAAAGGTGTAGATTTTTCAAATACAGTTTTTACAACAAATCTCTTATTAATGGACTTAAGCCAACATGTTTAACACTGATTTTGCTGGAAAATTCCCAAAATGAGTGTAAGAATATCTGTTTGTAGCCAAAGGTCAGGGTTAAATGCTTTTAAAATGATTTATCATC